GTGACTGTTCGTGACAAGTACGACGACTTTACGTGAGTCTCTATTTCGGTAGTTGAACTTGCTTCGAAAAGCTACGATTCGTTTCTTCTAAGATGCGTCTAGTCGCTTTTCTATCGAAGCATCGTAAATAACAAACACCGTCGCGAATTGTTGGCATAAAAACGATTTACTATCCACACGGCGCATACTAGAGTAGGAATAGTTCCTTTGATGAGTGAAAAAATGCATCGGGCGTCATTTGAGTTTTTGTCGATGACATAAACGACGGACGTGTACGTCGCCAGTCTTAGAATTTATTGAAAAAAAAACCCAGAAAAATGAGAAGTTGCGTTAATATTTCTAACGCGTCATCTTAAGTTCTATTCAGACGCAACATTGCGACCCTTTGCGCTAATGGTAACTGTTCACGTTCCCGAAACAAACGGGTAAAGTGTGGAAAACAGTCTGTCGTTGTCGGTGCAAGAGACAATATCATCATGGCCCAAGGACAGATCTAAATTCCCCGGGGCAAAGTCTTAAAAACTATAAATACGCTTCCGCGAAATTCATATTCCATCACATATATAAAGCAGGTGGCAGTCCGGGGTATGTTGTGCCAATATATGTGCACACACCAACTGAATGTATACGCAGGCTCCAGCCAATGTATTTTTAATATATATATATATATATACTATATATCGTATACATATTGTCGTATATAACATTAAATGTCCAATTGTGTGTTTTATAACGGGCAAATTCACTTCCTTCATCTTCCAGGAATCGTAACTTTTTATCACCCGGATAGGTTGGATAATTTGATTGTAAAGTTGTAAACGAATAAAGAAGGGAGAAAGTTACTCGTTGCTGCGCAACAGGCTGTATAACAGTAGCAGACGTGACACGATTGAAAGTTCTATCATTATATCGCGAGAAAATGCAGGGACACGGTCACATATACGATGAGATTCAGAGCAGAGGCTGATGGTAAATGCAAGTTGAATCAAGACATTCGGAAGCAACACATTGATGAAGGAATATCAGTATCTAACATCATTACATACTAAGTTCTTGTGCCTATATAAATTAGGTCTATATACGCTATAGAAATAGTATATACAATTATACGATCATATATATATATAATATATATATATATATATGTGTTATAATAGAATCTAAGCTGCTCTGCGCTAGGTGTATGCCTGCGCGTAACATCTAGAGATCGGCGCCGGCTGGTGCATGGTGGTGTGGACGGGTGGCCTGCCCGTGAGCGGTGATAAATATTCAACACGTGTTAAAGCCGACTAGC